CCACCCTGACCCCTGCCAGCTCTGAATCTGCATTTTAACCCCATGGATCCCCGGGACCCCCAGAGGCACACTGGCACTGAAGGAGCCCTCTTTCTGGAAGCTTGCAGGGTGCTCCCCTACTTATGCAGCTTGGCCATCCAGGAGCAGGTCCACCCCTCATAGAAGACACAGTGTCCCCATAGGTGCCATCCTCATGAGACCCTCTCCCAAGGAGCCCCTTCCTCAAGAACCACCCACGCTGAGCCCAGATGCCTCACCTGTAAAGCTGCTGGCCTGGCTCTGACCCACCGCACTGGTCAAAGCCAGCAGGACCAGCCCCAGGGTCACGGGCATCCTTGGGGGCAGGGGCCACGCAGGACCCAGGGCTTCCAACGCAGCAGTCTGAGTCTTTGGAGGGGCACTAAGGGCCTGCGTCGCCTGGGCCCCAAGAAAAGGCCCTCTGTCCCCTGTGCTGCTGGTGATGGCAATGGCTTCAGAGGGAGCATCTGCTGGGAGCAGTCCCTTATGCCTGCTCATCAATGCCCGCCTGCTACCGCTGTTTCCCTGGGGGCTCCTGCATGTCACAGACTATTCTTGCTCCAAGCAGATGGCATCTTTTAGGAAAGGTGAGCGGCCAACATCTCCAGTCTCATCACTGAGTTCCATCTCATTGTTACCCAGAAAATGCATTGCAAACCCAAATCTGTGTCCCCCCACCAAGTGCAAAGTATTCTCTTACCCTATCACTGCAAACTGGCAGGAGAAAACAGCGTCAAATCAAAGTGGTACATCAGACTCAGAGAGGCACCCTTCACACAGCTCCACAATACAGCTCAGAAGTCATGAGTGGGACTTCACCAGCCCCACCAGACCCTTCTCCTGGGGATCACTGGGCTGTGCTCACAGAGACGCTCACTACCCGTGATTGGAATGGAAAATCACCCGTGGAACAGCCACAAGTGGGGGGAAAATGAATTATTGCAGAGGATGGAATATTAAAGAATCGGGAAATGCCCACCATGAAGATGTTTTACCAGCATTAAGAAAAAATGAGCACTGTAAACTCAAAACAAAAGTTCATACAACTGCCTACAGAAAGAAATCAACCCCAACCTTATATGAAAGTGGATGAAACCCAGAGAAGATCAAGGGAAGAAGAGAAAGCCTATTGAGGTGGTGGAATTGTAGGAGGCATTTATATTTCAGTAACTGTCATGTTACATGTGAGATGGATTTTTAGATTTCATGTCAAACCCTCTCTAGCCCACAAAGCCTTTGTGCTTTTTGTAACTTGGTATTGAAAGCTGTTGGCTTCTCGGAGAAGACCACAGGGTAGGTACAGGGGCCCCCTGGCTGTCCAGCTCAGTAGTCCCCTTGTGTCCTAAATACAGAGCTGCTCTCTCCCAGGGGCCTTCCACCCGATGCCCATGCCCACGTTGCCATGTCTTCTATTCTCTGCAGGTTCATCTCCCCAACGACTCACTGCTGCGCTTGCATGGCTAATGGCTGAGTGTCAGATGCCATGGCAAGAACTTTAAAGAGAAGCTGGAAATAACCACAGCCAAGGGCCCTGCACAGGGGTTCCCTGGAGGACAGCAAGACCCTTTACAGAAGACCCGAGTTTCGTGAGGACCGACCCATAACTGTGCTGTAATACAGGTTAAAAAGAAAGAGTTTAATAAGGAAAGAATCGATTCTAAAACTCTCATGTTCGAGGAAATTAATTTGATTAGCATTAGAAGAATAAATAGAAAATCAGGGCTGGGGATGTGGCTCAAGCGGTAATGCGCTCGCCTGGCGTGCGCAGGGCGCTGGGTTCGATCCTCAGCACCACATAAAAATAAAATAAAAGATGTTGTGTCCACCAAAAACTGAAAAATAAATATTAAGAAATTCTCTCTCTCTCTTCTCTCCCTCTCTCTATCTTTAAAAGAAAATGAAAATTAATTAAAATTTGAGTAAATTTAGACATTTAAAATGCAAGCTGAATCTTCTTTATAATACCACATTTACCCTCTCTCGGGAAGTTTGTACAATACAGGAAGTTTCCATAGTATGTGGAGGTGAATCAGGGACAACATTAAAGTTTAAAACTTCTTTTCCCTGCAATTCTCTACCGCCCTACAGCACAGGTCCTTCACCAGGTGGGTTCCAGGAAGGGGGCCGCGGTTCAGGAAGGCATGTGGTGAGGGAGGGGACCCCAGCCTGGCCCCTGCCTCCCACTCCACTCCACGGCCTGCCGGTCCCTCTGGAGAGAGCACTGCACCCTCCAGCCCAGCACAGGGAGGGCAGGACATCGCACTGAGGACTTGGTGGAGTCTGGAATGTCCTCATGCTTTCTCTATCGTTAAACGCCTGTCGTCAAAAAAGAACCAAGTTAACAGTTTCTAGCTGTTGACTAACAGGTCTTCCTGTCAATCACTCCTCCATAAAGGTACAGCAAAAGGGGTGTGTGTGTGTGTGTGTGTGCGCGCGCACATGTGTTGGGTGTATGTGCATATGTGTTGGGTGTGTGTGTGACTGAGTGAGTGTTATTCGTGAGAGTGTTATTGTGAGTGAGTGGGTGTGAGTGAGCATGAGAGTGCGTGTGTGACTGTATGGGTGTGTGTTCGTGAGTGTGTGAGTATACATGAGTGTAAGCATGTTTGAGTGTGTGTGCAGGTGCAAGGTGTGGGTATGTGAGTGAGCGTGTGTGAGTGAGGGTGTGATTGTGCTCGGTGAGTCCATGCTCAGGCACAGATGACCGCGGGGACTTTCCACTTTGCCTTGTTAGGCGAAGCAGCTTCACCCTGTGGCCAGCAGGGAAGGATGGTCTTGTTCAGAGTCAGCACGGCCAGGATGTGTCCATCAGAGAGCAGCATGTCCATCAGACAGACCAGCGTCCTGCTGACCCAGTGTCCACAGGCAGGAGAACAGGGGAAGCCACGGGGTGCAGTTGAAGGGTTCACACACACCCATGCACACACACAGCTCGGTCCCACCAGCTCCCTCACACACTGACACATGCTCACAATTCACTTTCACACCCAGCAATGTTCACATACATGCAGCTCTCACACCTGTTCACACTCAGCACTCATGCTAGCTCGTGCACGTTTACACACATGCCTGCTCGCTCACATCTGCACACACGCACAGACATAAGGTGAGGAAGGGCCTGCCGCCTGGACAGCCTCAGCAGAAGCTGCCATGGTTCATCTCCTCCATTACAGGGAGAGCATGGGTCCCCCCTGACGGCCCTTCCTCACTTGGGGTCTGAGTCCTGCGACCTGTGTGTGCTCACAGAGGTTGCACACACCAATGCAAAATGGCACATCTGTCGCCACCCTGTGGCTCAAGTGTGTCCGCCCTGATGGTGGTTCCACATCATGGCAGTCGTGTCCCAGAGACAGACGAGCACACCAACGTGAAGTCCTCCCACTGGTCCGGGCTGGGAGGGTGAGGAGGCACCACTAATAGCCTGCAGCCTCCTCTGGGATCCTGTCCCCAGGCAACCACACAGCCACCTTCCCTTGGGAGAGGAGGGAGGGCTGCCGAGGTGGGGGACGCCAGCCCGGAGGGAAGGAGGAATGGCCGGCAGCAGCTCCATGCGAGGGAGCTGTCCTGGTGGAAGTGGGGACTTGGAGACACCTGCACTGTCCTGACTGCAGAGGCCCTTGTCCCACTGGAGTCCGGGAGCAGGGGAGACGCAGGTGGAGGCGGAGAAGTCCCCTCTCCAAGAGCTCAGCAGTCGAGGCTCATTTCCATGAAGCACTAGCAGGATAGGACAGTGGCAGTGATGAGCCAGACAGCAGATTCGTGAAGCTGGAAAAGTCTGGATTCGGAAGAGGCCTGGACTAAGCTGAGCCGGCTTCCTGCCCACTGCAGGCAGCTCCCTGGCGATCACAGGCACCAAGATAGGGCTTCTTGGAGTACAATGGGGGCCCCCGAGGAGGTAGCCTCCAGCTCCTCCGCAAGGCTGTCACAGATTTCCTGGGGATCCTCCTTTCAACGCAGGCTCCCTTCTGGGTCAGCTTGCCTCTTTCCTGACCTCTTGTCCCTATCCCCTATGCAGGGAGTGGGGGACAGATGCCAGCCCGGGCCCTGGTGTGACAGCTGTGGCACCTGCCCTTGCTGTGTCCTCCAGAGGCTCTTGAGGGAACCTGCACCCTCAGAGCCACTCAGGGAGAGGCCCAGACACCTGGGGGAGGAGGGCAAGGCAAGGCGGTCTGGAGCAGGTGTCCCACGCCACGGGAGGGTAAGACGACTTTCTCTAGATGCTCTCCTCTGCCCTGAGGAGGCTGGGGTGCCCCACAGCTTCTGAAAGACCCTCCTTCTCTGGTTGTAGCTCTGAGACACAGCTGGGCGCACACCCTCCACCTGGGCAATGCCACCCTGCGGCTGCAGGGAGGGGGAGCGAGCGGCCAGGTGGAAATCACGGAGTCTATGGAGTGGTTCAGCCCAGCTGTGCCCCCAGAGGTTCCTGTGCTGGAGCTCAGGATCCTCACCAGAGGCCCAATACCTGGAGCTTCTGGCCTTGGAATTTCAGTTTCCAAACTATAAGCTAAATAAACCTCCTTTTTTTTTTTTTTAACTCAACCTCCAGTATTTTGCTATAGCAATAGAAAGCAGGCTCACCAAGCCCCAGCCTCTGGTCTGAGAGGTACGAATATCTCCACGGGGGTCAGGTCCAAAAGCTTCCATCCACCTGCCCTGGGGATTGATGGGATTTGGTGACTAACTGTCCCACTTCGCCTTGGACTCAGGCGTCTCTTAGAATGAAGAGCCTTCACCACCTACACCAGAGAGTCTTGTGGACACCAGGATGGATCCGTCACAACTGAGAAGCTTTCTAGGAAATACCAATGCCCAGCCCCAGCCCTGGGGATCTCAGGGTGGCATCTGGGGGTCTCCAGAGGCCTGCAAGTTGAGAGCCCTTGCCCAGTCAACCCAGGCAAGGGAAAATGGGAGACGCCCTTGGTCAAGGTCACTTAAGTAGCAAGATGAACAATAGTTCCTACAAAAAATGTCCAAGCCCTAGCTCCTGGCACCTGTGAACACGAGTTTATTTAGAAACAGGGTCTTTGTGAGCCATCCCAGATTAAGGTGGACCCTAAATCCAATGACGGATGTCTTCCTAGGAGAAAGCAGAGGGAGACGAGATGCACAAGGGACAGGAGGCAGGGAGTGGAGGTGCGTCCGCAGTCCATGAAAGGCAGGGAAGGTCGGCAACTCCAGAAGGCAGGGGACACAAGGGACAAATGCACTTGGCGCCTCCAGGGGGACCAGCGCTGCCCACACCTTGGTCTCAGGCCTGCGAGAGAACAGAGCTCTGTTGTTGAAGCCTCTGTGGTGCTTTGTTATGGGGCCCCAGGACGCTTCCCTGTTGGTCAGAGGCGTGGCCTCCTCTCAGTCCTGGTACCCTGGGATGGCGTCTTCCCACCATGACCTCTTGCTCAGCCCTGCCTCCCCTCTTCCACATGGGGCCAGCCCCCAGTCCAGGACAGTTCACTTGGGGTGAACAATGGGAGATGCTCAGTGCATGTGGGACTTGTGGGCTGACAGGTGTATTGGGACCCGTGTTGATCTGAAATAACCTGGCCGTGGCCTTGGGCCTGGGGTTGCTGGGGCTGTGGTGTGCGTGGCAGGCTGTCCCAGCAGAGATCTCCACGGGCTATCAGAGAGTTGATCCCTGGAGTCTCTGACTGCCCAGCTCTCCTCTCTCTGCCAGCCACACTGTGAGGTCCTCCCTTTGATCCAGGGTGTCTGCCCTCCTCTGGCCTGTGAGGACAGGTGTGTATGGGGCTTGGAGCACCGTCCCGGCCACTCTGGCTCAGGGTCCCTGCGGTGCTGAACACGGCCCTGCCCCCTTGTTTGCGAGACCTTCCCCACTTCCATCTGGACAGTCTCTCACAGTCTGCCTCTTGTAACGTCAACAGTGAGTGGTTTGGGGAACATTAGTTGAGTCAGAAAGCCTTTATCCCTGTTGTGTGGTCCCAGAGTTTGGGTCAGCAGCCTCAGCAGGCCAGAGAAAATGCCAGAAGCCCAGCTCTGGGGGTAATCCAGAGCCAGATCTGCCCCATCTGCCCACTGCATGCCAAGGCCCCACGTGGGCAGAGGCAACTGGTCCTGCAAAACAGCCGTGCAGGGAGCCTAAGTTGATGTGGTTAAAGTGACACCAATCCTGTGGATTTGCTGCGACGAGCCCAGAGCCGCCTTGGAGGTGCAGCTGGGGAGGGTTGGTCCTGCCCACAGAGAAGGGGGCCCGGCAGGAGAAGGCGCCGTGGCACCGCCCGCCCCCGCAGTGGTCAGGGGCTGCGCCCTGTGCAAGCTGCAGGGCGTGTGGGATGGAGCGAGGAGACTGCTCCGTCGCTGATTCTCACTCGAAGAAGAAAGCACACCTTCTCAAGTCGGGCTCAGCCCGGGCAGTTTCAACTTCTGGAACAGCTCAGAGGAGAGGCAGAAAACAGGAAGCGAGAGCAGGAGGAAGGGTGGTGGTGGGGAGACCATGATGCAGAACACCCACATTGGAAGATCGAATATACCAGAAAAGGGGCGATGGCGGCACCTGTGGGACTTCTCTTGGATGAGGAGCTCATTTGCCACCTGTGGGGGGGTCAGCGCTCTGCCCCGGGGCTCACGCCTTCCTCAGCATTCAGCCCGCCTTCCTTGGGCACTCCTGGGCAGTCGGCCGTGGGCGGGCTCACTAAGTCCCCGGAAGCCTTTGGTGATCAAACTGTGGCTCCCCAAAGATATGTGTGTGACCTGACCTCCATACCTGTGAACGTGGCCTTCCTTGAGATCAGGGTCTCTTCAGATGTGATCAAGTTATGATGAGGCCACACTGGAGTAGGGTGGCCCTCTGGCAGTGTGGCTTGGGTTCCTATAGAAGAGGGAAGTAGGGACACAGCACCCAGACAGAAGGCTGTGTGACAACCGGAGGAGCCTGGAGCAGGGCCCTGAGAGCCAAGGGGTGCAGAATGGCCAGCAACCAGAGGAGCTGGGGGCAAAAGGATCCCCTCGCACCTTTAGAGGGAGCAGAGCCCTGAAAACAGCCTCCAGAACTGTGAGAGAATAACTCCCTGTTATTTGGGTCCCAGTTTCTGGAACTTTGCTATGGCTGTCCCAGGGGAAAGACTGACAATGAACATAATTCCAAACCAACGTGCCCAAGAGCCCATGGCACAAAAGCTGGGACCTCCAGGAACGGGGTCAGCAGAGCCTTCCTGAGAGACAGCCTCAAAGGCCCTGGGGCTGGGAGCCTGGTCCACACAGTAACAAATGGAGCTGGAGCCCGGACCACAAGGCTCTCATGCAGCTGCCGACTACCAAGCCAGACCGGCCCTCCCCCACCTCCCACCAGGTCCCCAGGACCATGTGGCATCTGAGAGCTGCACCGTTCTTGAAGTGGACATTGAGGCAGAGTACCAGCAATAGCAGGCCTCAGTCACCTCCAGTGCCTGTGCACAGGTGCTGCATTTAGGGGCAGGGAGTGGGGGGCAGTGACAAAGGACCGAGGCCTCGGTGTCACTCGGGGCCGAGTCAGAGAAGGTTGACTTAAATTACAGCAGGAGGAATTCAGGTCAGATAGCGAGGACTGTTAAGCCCTGGACTGCCTTGCCCAGAAGCTGTGACAAGGGACGCTGCCCGGGGAAGCCCTCCAAGGTCCCCAACCTCTGCACCTGAGACGGTAGCTTCAGAGGAAGGGCAGCTCCTCCAGGACCTGATGACTTCAGCAGCAGGTGGACAAGTGATCACCCAGCTCTGAGAAGCACAGCAGGGCCACGGTGTGTGGACAGAGCAGGACCAGCCAACCCCATGGATGCAGGTCTAACCTGACCACCTCTCACGTTCTGAGTGGCCTTGGAAGGTCTTAGCCTGAGTCCTAGTCTGCAACAAGTCACCATGAGGCTTACTGGCAGCTGGCACTGGGAGCCATCATTCATGGACCCTGGTGTCATCCCTGCTCCCCAGAGGAGCAGCTTCTTTCTCCCTCCTGTGATCGTGCTTACCTTATGACATGTGCAATGCCAGTCACCAGCCAAGTGTGAGGCCTCAGCCAAAGACGCCTTGCCATTAGCTAACTTTCAGGAAGACAGGCAGGAGGGGTCGAGGGTGAGCCACGCTGGACCCAGAGCAGAGCGGGCTAGCACTGCAGGAGCTGTTTCCACAGGGACTACAGCAGGGGACACTAGGCCTGAGCTAGGTTGGTGCTCACAGTGGCCCAGCGGTGGTGAGTGGGTGACAGTGTGGATCTCAGAGCACAGATGCATGGAGGGAAAGCAGGGCTGGGTTAGGAGCTGGCCTCGGGGAGGTCCTCCAGGGTGGTGGGGCAGGAACCCCGAGCCTGGAAGGCTGAGTGGCAAGGGTCATCCAGGGATCTTTGGGTAAGGGGCAGATTCACAGAGCCAGAGCTGAGGCAGAGCTGAGCCACAGGGACTGGTCCAGGTCCACGGCCAGCTGAGGTCAGAGGCCAAGTTCAGGCTTCACATTAGGGCCCGACCTGAGGCTAACACTCACGGAGGACTTCAGGCTGTCAGTCAGGGTCAGACCAACAGGGGACAAGTGCTGATCCAATCAACCCAGTTCCAACACTGACTCCTCCCCACTGCCCACCTGTCTTCGCCACAGGGTGCTCCTTCCCCACACCCAAGGCACGTGGCTCCTCACCTCCTCACGTCCTTGTCCCCTTTGTCCCCTTTGTCCTTTGTCCTTTACAACAACCTTGCCCTGACGGATGGGACAACACAGGAAAGGGAATCATGACCCAAGATCATCTCCTGGTATGCACCAGGTGCTCAAAAAATGTTGCATAAATAGTTGGGGTCAGTTCACAGGCACATTAGGGGATCCCCAGAGACAGGAACACATAAAAGTGTCTCCCAGACAGCTTCTCCCACTCTCCTCATCCTCAGGAAGCAGAGTTCTCAGCTGAACCACAGCGGGGCCACCCAGGACAAGTGTGGCCAGAGTGACAGGCAGTGACAGCTCACACAGTCTTCGTGTCCATCCAATGGAGATCCCAAGTGGGGAAAGTGGCTCTTAGCAGGTCTCTTCACCTGCTTTCTGAGGGCATCCGAGTGTGAGCCTGCTGGTCCCTGCTGAGAAACCTGGGGCACCTTTGGTCTTTGATGTCATGTTATATATTTAAAATTCCTCGGGGGTGGCTATTCCCCTTGGAGCTGACCACTTTACAAACCGCTAACCTGGAATGAGTCCCCGTTACGCCATGAAGACTGGCAATGACTCACTCAAACCCGGCCTCTGCCACTGCCCGCCTTCCCCTCCACCGCCTGCTCTGAGTTTCCAGCCACGCGGAACGGTCAGACGTCAGAGAACCAGGACCGGACGCAGGGCTGGCACCACACATGGACTTTTTCTGGAGGAGAAGAAGGCCCACTGGAAAAATTCTGAGCAGGAATTTAAACATAGACCACCAACGGAACAAGATGAAGAAGTCTCGGCTGGAGACGCACCCGGCGGCCAGAGATGCCCGCCAAGGACAGCCGCGGATGCCAAGGATTTGGTTGCAGGTTCTTAAACTTGGAATTTCCTTCCAGATGAGCTACTGCTTTTCCATTTTCCAAAGGTTCCGAGGTTTTGTTAAGAAAGGCATTTGAAGTGAGTTAGGAAAAACACGCCCTTTCCAAAAGCCCCGAAATCTGTGAAGAAAGCCCAGCCCGGCTCTCCTGGGGAAGGGGGGTTCTCAGGCCCCAGGGCCAGCATTTTCAGAGTAAGTGGGAGAGTGTTTACCAAGAGCGTTCCACGGTTTGGGATTTGTATAAACAATAGACCAACTGATGAGAAGCCCCAAATGGAAAGACCAGCTTGGAATGCCTGGCTGACTGGCGAGGCCAAAGAGAATGCTTTTCCATCCCCAAAGGAAGGGGTCACATGCCCGAGCTGAGACTGGCAGGTAGCCTGCTGGACTCACTCAACAGAAAAGACCAACAGACTAGGGGGAAGAGAGAAGGAAGAGTACAGGCAGTCGAGGGCGGCAGTGGGTTGGACGAGTGTCCCCTGCACATTCATGTCCACCCAGAATCACAGGATGTGGTCTTATTTGGAAAGAGGGATTATGGTAAGATCCAAAGTGGGGAAAGTGGCTTCACAGAGATGATTATGGTAAGGACGGTGACTCTGGACTGTGGTGGGCCCTGCCCCCAGTGAGTGTCCTGATAAGAGAGTGGAAAGGGCCCAGGGAGCAGGCAGAGAGTGGGCAACTGCACACCAAGGACCCAAGGCCACTGGCAGCCAGGAGACCAGAAGGAGCCCCCAGGACCATGAGCAGCAATGCTCGTGCCAAGAGCGAGATCTGGTTCATGGAAGACCACACCTCTGGATGCTAGAACCCGTACAAACGCATCAAGCAACTCGCCCTCAAGATCACCCAGACTATTCTGAGGCCACTGTTGGGCAACCTGGGGGTGCAAGAAGGTGAGCTCGGGCTGTCTGAAATTCTGTCCAGCCTCCCAGATGAGAGTCTTCCTGCGGCCCCTCTTCCCTGGGTTCATCATGGCATGCAGGAGGAAGGCAGCTGGCCCGGTCAGCTCTGCTCGTGCCAGCCCCAAGACTGCAGTCATGGTGACCTCCACCCTACCAAGGGAGGGTCCTAGCGAGCTCTGTGGAGCCTTCCAGAACTGAAACCTCGGGATGCAAGATACACCCTGATTCAGTCTCTCCCTTGGTTAATTTTATGGGTGGCCTTTGGTCATCCACTGTATCCTCTTGGGAATGCAGTATCTTTCTAGGAAGGAATTGAGAGGGGAAGGGAGGAAGGAAGGAAGGAAGGAAGGGAGAGAGGAAGGAAGAGGGGAAATGAGGGGCGGTGGTCGGCCACTGGAAGGCTGGGCCAGTCTGTGCCTCCCGTCTGTCCCTCACAGAGCTCCCCGGCTGCCTCTAACCACAGGTCCAACTCTGGGGTCTTGTCCTGCAAGCTTATCACTGTGCACCGGGGAACTCCAGTGGAGACGTCTGTGGCTGGCACTCATGCCTAGGAACACCAGAGTGTTGCAGGTAGCACCCATGCCCAGGGGAGGAAGGGCAGAGTCCCCACACCACCTGCATCTGGCCTGCTTGCTGCCCAGCATTCCCACACAGACGTCCCAAGCACCAGGCCCTGACTTGTCTTCCTGCTCCCGACACTTCAGGGTCGTGCCTGTGGCCCGATGGACATCCTGCTACCAGGCAGTGCTCTATGGTTTCTTTCTGGGCTCTCCTTGCTCCTCCTTCCCCTGTCTGAGGCCTCTGGCCACCCAGGCTCACAACCCTCTCCTTCTCCCCACTGGTTCCTCCCTAGGGAGCAGGAAACACCCATGTGCACAGGGTGGGACATGGTGGGACATGGGCAAGGCCTGGGCCCCCTGCTGCCCACCCTGCAGCCTCCCCCTCAGGATAACCCCAGCTAAAGTGCAAGTCCTCGATGGTGGACCTGCCTGGACTGTGACCGATGTCTACCCAGGTGATGGACAAGACACATGCGGCAGGGGCTGCAGGGTGGAGTGGACTTGGTGCTGCCCGTGGAGCAGCTCCCCAGAGAAGACGAAAGGCGACGGCAAGTGTTGAGGGGTCACTGTGCAGACGCAGCACCAGTTTATTTGGGAGAGATCCAAACACTTACCTGGGGGACGATGGCCTAAGTCAGTCCTCCGAGGGGAAGATTCTTAGCTGAACGCAGTGGTGAGCTGCCTGACTGCAGGAGCATTCAAGCAGGCCTGAAGCCGCTGCAGCAACAGCTGGGTTTGGAGCATCAGGAAGGCTGGCACCGCACAAACTGAGGTTTTGGGGGGCAGCAGAATGGACCCTGAAAATGGGAGAAATCCCAGAAGGGAAGAGGAAATTGACCACAGGGGGCAAGGAAGCCTCGGGGACGGGGACAGCAGCAGACACTCTGCACCTGCATCCTTCAGAACACAACACCCAAGCTGTGCTCACGTGGCACTCCCCCTGAAGGAGAGGCCAGGGCCTGGGGGACATCACACACCCTACTTCTGCTAGGATGGGCTGAGGTGCCCCCAGCCCATTGATCTGGAAGCCTTTGGTCCAGGGTCATAAAGAAGGTGAGAGGGGCCCAGGAGCCAGCCCACGGCACAAGTTCTCTGTGTGCACTCCGGGGGTTGCTGCCTGGCTGCCGTGGCACCATTCCAACTGTGGACATTGCTTAGAGGCTGTGTGAGACCGAGGCAAGAAGTGTTCCTTGAAGTTAGCCTGGGGCTAACTTCCAGTGGGCCCCAAGGTCTCACAGGAGGAGTCTCTGAATCCTGGGGGCTCACACCTGGGCTACAGAGATGATCAACTCTGTGACCTCAGACAACAAAAGCTCTTTGGCCTCAGTTTTCTTTTTTTTTTTTAATCTGTTGATAGAAAATTGGTGAACTAGGGAGTGATGTTGGCCAAATCATATTGTTAAATCGTGAGCATGTACTAATATGTACAACAAATCCCACCACCTTAGGTACAGCTAAGATGCACCAATAAAAAACGTGGAGGAAAATCAGTGAACTAGAGAAAGTGAGGTAATTGATAGGGCAAAGCACATTAGTTCTTGTTCACATTTTCCCAGGGCAAGAGTTCCCCCTAAGAGAAGTGAACCCACCCCAAGCTCCTTCATGGCAACACGTGAACAGCTGACCCCTGAGAGGCCAACAGGTCTGGAGGCCAAGGGCAGGAGGACCAGCAGGGGCCCAGCAGCGGCCAAGATGGATCTGGAAGCAGCACAAACTTTGGAGCACTGGCTCCTGATGTGGAACAAGCCTTAACAAGGCCCCTAAGGAGATGGGAACGTCCACCTTTGGTTTCCTGAAGGTGTTGAGCTGCGTCCAGGAGGGCTACACCTAAAAGCACAACACCAGGCTGACCCAGAGCAGCTGCAGCCCACAGACAGCTCTGGTGGCAATGAATGACAGTACTGCCATCAGTGGTAGAACCACGGTGACCCCTGTGCTGGGGACCTCTGAAGTGACAGCCTCCAGGTGTGACCTCAGGGCAACCTCTAAGACAGCCTGGCTCTGCTGTGTCACTGACACCACCGTGCACTAAAGTCTCCTCTTCTGCAGATGAAGGCAAGTGTCCCAGATTGTCATTACACCATCACTATCAATGCACTCAGGCAGGCAACACCTCCCCCAGTGTCCCATGGAAAAATCACATGAGTGACCCAGGCCACGTGTAGTTCCTTAAGGGTGTCCTACCTACCTGTAAAGCATGCTGGACATTTTGCTCTTGGTAAAAGATGTAATGAACTTAGTAAGCTTTTTGAAACGTCTCCTTTTTCTTTTGCCTCTTTTTTCTGTTGTTGTTTTTTAACACAAAAGGCAGGCTAAAATGACCTTACCTTTGCTTGTGGTCCCCGGCTCACATCCGAGGTGGGCCGCAGGAGATTGCCTGAGAGCCGGTCAGGACGCTGCGCCTGGCTCAGGGCCTGCAGATTGTGGCCAGGAGCCAGCACCTTCTCACCTCTCACTCTATCTGCACCACACAGGCCTTCAGAGAGCCGAAGGCACGTCACGAAAGGACGTTAAGGGAGTGACCGACACCACTCTGGGACAAAGAATTACTATTCAGTATGCAAGGACAGAAAAATCAAGTCAGAACCTGGGAATTCACAGCTTTAACCTAGCTGGCAAGTTTTCATTTCTTCAGAGTTAGAACAAAATTTGTAGTTACACCTCTGATCAAGGAGCCGGCCAGACATCTGCCCTTCAACACAGAAGCAGCCCTAAAGGCAGGCTCAAGAGCAGAGAGCCAGGTGCCGCCTTTTCGTAATCCAAACGCGGAACAGGCTGTGCAGGATGCCGTGGAGCCTTGGCCCCGTGGCCTACACCCCGAAAGCCGGTCACTGCGGCCACTTGCCCTAGAGGCAGACGCGTGAGGAGGTCAACCAGGGAGGTGCCTTGTCACAGATTCTGCCTGCTGATGAAGGGGAAGGATTTGTGGATTCTTGGCCTTTGAATAAAAGTCACCTTTATGCCATTGGCTCTGGTTTTACACTTTACTAAAAAAATTTTTTAAATAAAAAGTAAAGATGATCCTTCCCCTTGATATCATTGTGTGAAGACAGCCAAATGCACTGTTGTGTCCAGGGGAAGGTCCTGGCAGGATAAAAGGTGTCATAAAGGGCATTGTATTGGATACAGTGGTGGATTGGCCTGGGGATGTGGCCATGCTAGTGACGTAGGAGAATATCAGTGTTCTTGGATATATATGTGCCAAAAGTATGGAGCGGGGTGGTGGTCTGGATCTCAAATGTCTCCCAAAGACTTGTGTTTTGAAGGCTGGTTCCCAGTGTGGCAGTATTCAGAGGTGGGTTTAGGAAGTGATTGGACCATGAGGGCTCTGATCTCACTGGTGGATCAATCCACTAATGGGCTCATAGATGATGGCAGTATTGAGAGGTGCTAGACACTTCAGGAGGTGGGGCTTAGTTCAGAGAATAAGGTCACCAGGATATGCCCTTGAAAGGCATCTGGTCCTTGGTCTCCCTCCGTCTCTGCTCGTTCTCTCTCTCTCTCTCTCTCTCTCTCTCTCTCTCTCTCTCTCTCTCTCTCTC